AAACCCCTAAGACCGAATACAATCCCACTACTCGAGCAACTCTACTGGCCCCTGCCCCTATAGGAGCGTTCCACCGTTGCGGATAAAACGAGTATCGTAAAACAAGGAAAATCAGCTATCAAAATAGTTTTTCTCAGGGTAAATACCACCCGTCCCAACAACGACTAAATCCGACCCTTAGCTGCCGATTCCTCATCGTATGATGTCCCCTTTATCAGGTCCCCCGCAGAAACACTTGAAGTACAGAACGAAGCAGTGACAAAGGTAAACACTCACCTGTCCATGCGTCGGGCTATTTCGTTGTCCCACGGCATATCCTTCTCAGGCGGTGTGTAGTCAAAAGTCTTCAATGAAAATTAGTTGGGAACACGGAGGCAAAATAGAGGCACGTTTCTCACGCCAAATACCTGATCTTCGTAATCAAACCAATCAGATTTTGGTTTAAATTGTCGGAGAAGACGTTTGTTCCGCAGTCCAACAACTGTGCCTCCAGTTCCAGGGAAAGCTGTTATGCCTGAAATAAAGATACAGAACTAAACGTCTTGGCGGAAGTATCAAACTATCCTAATTTAACTAATTTACGTAACATCCTACATTGCCGTAGATATTCTACGAAAAATCTTTAAATTTTAGGACATGTCTTGATATGCGGCGCGAACTTCCGCGAATGCAATCAGCTGTTGTCTAGCATGTTTTTTCGCTACTTTCAAAGGCTGCTATTCCAGTCCTTCGGGTGTCTTCGGGGCTTAATTTGTTATTGGCGTCGGTTAGGAACGACAAGCTTCTTTAACGATCAACGAGGCGATAGGCGAACTCACGCTCTCTCAAACTAAGCCACAGCGACGACAGTCTACTCTAAGAAGGCTCACTTTATTTGAAGGTGGATCTGAAGGTACTCCCCTGACTGGGTTCCTCATCACTCTCGTTTTCTATTCCCTGAGCGTCGACGATGGGGAGCCGGTCAACACAATGCCGCTTCGTCGCGCATCGCGAGCGCGGCGTTTTCTTAACTTAGCCTGTCGATTAGAACACCGAATTTCATGTAGACTACGACACTGTAGACATTTACGGCTAAATTGAATTATCATCGTCTTTCGCCGCTATCTACCACCAGGAAACATCTATAGGGCGACGTCGCACGCGACGCAGCAGCGCGACGAATTATGATTGTCTTGTCACCCTAATGTTTGGGCACTGTTTAGTAGAGCTTCTTATCGGCAGCAAAGCGGAAGTACTGAGAAGGTAAGCAAGGGTGAACAGGACACTAAGCGGGAATGAACGTCAAAAATTCAGTAAACGGTTCCAAAGCAGCTTAGGAAGCGGAAAAAGAGGACCAAGTCAGTGGAGATCAGCACATGAGATAAAACATGCGCCTACTGGAAGGACCATGCGCCGAGATGGGCAGGATAAAAATAAAGAATGGGTATCACTTCCAGGGCACTCCACAGCCCAGAAAAATTAAGGAAGGGTGAGCACAGGTCTGCGACGGTTGCCGATCCGATCGCTCGACTGAGCGGCCTTCTAAGAAGTTTTTGCAGGAGTGAATGCTCTTTCGCAGATGAAGAAGTCGTTCCTCCATCATTCCATGACTGCCCTACTTTCGGCTGTTATTCTCTTCAAAGTTCTGAAGGTTAGTAGCCGTTGTCGTGGAAATTCCATACCACGCACCTTTCTCGAACACAAGGTTGCAGTTTAGTCACAACAATGAAGGATGCAAAGTATCAAAATTTGAAATGAACTTGTCAAGTGAGAAAAGTTTGCACTTGAAAAACAGCTTGTTAATTGATTTTTGGCCACTGTTATAGATACAACAGTGAAAAGACGGTACACTTTACCTCCATGCCATGCCTCTACATCCTCAGGATGAAATCTTTGCGGATGTTCCATCATGTACAAATTCGCTGGTTTAGATTCCATCCGTGAAAGCCTAGAAGAATCATAAAAGAACTTTGGGAATAGAGAGAGGCACCTCGAGTAAAGGCCAGTTAACGACAAAACGTACTTTGCATAGTTCGTGATATTTTCAACCGGCTCCTCGTAGAAATCTATAAGATCTTGAACCGACTTCAAGTGCATGAGCCGTGAATTCGTAGGGTAATGTTTGAATTTCTCACCGAGAGCCAAAATGACCTAAAAGGACGCGAGGAGTAATAAGTGCACAACAGCGAAGAAATGAGGAATCTAAGATGTTACCAGTCCGATTGCTCACAGTACTTTTTAATAAACCTAGATTTTGAACCTTATGCATCAAAGCTCTAGTCCCCAGATAGTGACGAATACATGCAAAACGTTGACTGACTTCTCAGGCACCCAAACGCAGACAGGAGCAGAAGGGGAGAGGGGAGGGTTCAATCATTCTTCCCAAACAATCAAAAATACCGAACGAAAATGAGCGTCCACACAGATTGAACAAAAGCATCGTAAGCGTACTGCAATAATAACTTCTCTTTCAACGTGAAGGATTTTCAAAAAGTCTATTTATTGTTTTCCTCTGGCAAGCCCCTCTAGCAGTTACATCTAGAAGACGCAGTTCTCAACATATCTAGCAAGGCAGGCGGCTCTTGACCTCAGCTTACTTTCCAAAAGAAAAAAAATCCTGATAGCATGTGGAAAAACGTCATACAAAAAGATGAAATCAAAAGCACCGCTTTACTAAACTATTCACGACCCCAAATATTCCGGAATTGGGCCCACTGTTTTACCGATTTTTCTTCTACGCAGGCAGATTTCGCTGAAAATTTGTTCCCAGGAGTATTAGACCTACTGAGCACGAATATCACTATCACAAAATGCGCTTAGCTTGGAACTGCTAGGTGCCTACGCCACAGGGTTGGCGTCAAACAACCCAAGTCGCCGAATTGCAGTAAACTTGAATCCAGGGGTTTGATTTCCTCCAGATGACTGGCGATCCGCTTGGCGCGAAACCGCATGTGGCCCGCGCCACAGGAGCCGGCGCCAAAATACTCTAAATCACCAAATTTGGTGAAATCTTGTCCGTAGAAATAGTTTGATCTTTTGAACACGAGTATCGCACCTATTCTACGTGGGGTGCCAATGGAGCTATCGATATGGCAAAGGGGATAAATGTGACAGCGCAGCCTGCCGCGCTTGTCCGCACCCTTTCGCCGAGACAGTGATCCCTTCTTCTGCTAAGGCTGAGATCTAGCAAGCAGAAGGATCACTAACGCAGGCCAAGAAAAAGGGTGCTGTCTCGTCTGGCCGTTCTTTTCTAACTGCCCTAGTACTAAGCCTGGCAAAAGCTTAGTACTAGCTTGGCTCAAGCTCGAAACAGCCAGGAGTCCGCACGACGGTCAAAACACGCGTGTAGTGCCGTCACCCGTAACGCGGGTGATAAGCAACTTCGTGCCAAGCAAATGTTATATTGTGATCAGGACACCAAAGAGCCTCAGTAAATGACAATAAT